ACTAATATACAGTATATATATATATATATATATATATATATAAACATAAAACAACCATAAGCAGCTCACTGGACAGGAAGACTAAGAAAATATCCATTTGTTCATCACACAAAACTGTTGTCTGTGCACAAGTCATATGGATTACATTGAATTACATGGTGGTTCCTTTTTGAAGCTTGAAAAAATGTAGTCCCCACTCAATCAGTTCAGCTCAATCACTTCAGCTCAAACTTTCCCTTTTTGTATTCTGTGCCAGAATCATACAGGTTTGGAATGACTAGAGGTGAGTAAATGATGACAGAATTTTCATTTTTTAATTTTCCATGAACTAATCCTTTCATTTATCCTCTAATTAATCACCTTTCGTCCCTCAAGGGTGAGAGGAGAGCAATGCAAGGGTGCAGTTCCAGACCAGATATAATAGATGGCTTTGATCACCAAACGCAGGCCTGTTTGCCCCCAGGATTCCTCAAGTGTGTGGATGTGTATGTGTGCATGTGTGTGTGTGTGTGTCCAGTTAAGCCTGCAGGGTCAAGTCCTTGCAGTGAATGAGTAAAGAATCTCAGGGCCTTTCATGTGTTACCGTAATGATGGGGACATCATCTGTCCGGACTGGTTAATGGGATGGGGAATTACCCATGCCTTTGGAGATTTATAACCTCTTTAAGGAGATGGCAAGACTTTAGAACTGCCCCTAGGAAACATCAGCCATCACCAATGAGATCTCTTTTTGTGATTACTCTTTATACTGTCTAAAATGTCACATCATGTAAATACACAATTGTATATGCTTATACTGTGTAAACAGTCAGAGAAAGTCTAAGACCGTATTGGAAATCTGGGTCTCAACATCTAAAACCTGGAAAAAAGGAAACGTTTCTGAATTCTGAAAAACAATTCAAATATGAAACATGGCATAAAATGAGTCTATAATCAGATTTGTGTCACTGATCATCTGATGTCTTTGTACAGATGTTCTTGATTCCACTGAAGCACAAGATGCTAGAACAAAGGCAAAAGAGGAATAGATACAATTCTAAGACATTCTGAAATTATCATTCTGACTATAAAATGGGTAAAGTAAATATTTGTATTAAAATTAAAAGAAGCATGCTCTCAGACATTTGGTTTCTTTCTTACATTTTCATTTGTTTCTGGTAGACAGCAATGATATGGAGAGCAAATAGAGTCTCATGCTTCTCAGATATTTCCCCTAAGCAAAATTCCCTAGTAATTTCATGTTTCTCCTCTAAAGTTTCAGAACAGATCTCAACTTTGCTGAGATCTGATTGAGATAACGGCAGTCAAAGTCTGCAATTAATATGGACTTCTCATACAATTCTTCCAAGAACAAATTAATACCAATTAAAGGGATATTTCACCCAAAAATAAAAATTTGGTCATCATTTTCTCACCTTCATGTCATTCCAAACCTGTGCAACTTTCTTTCTTCTGCAGAACACAAAAGAAGATATTTTAAAGAATGTTGGCAAGCAAAGAGTTTTGATAACCATTGACTTCCATTGTATGAACAAAAACACGATTGATTTCTCAAAAATATCTTCTTTTATGTTCCACAGAGGAAAGTAAATTCCAACCATTTCCATTTTTGGGTGAATTATCCCTTTAGTTTTGCAGTTACTGTCTACAATTTTAATTTGCAAAAGAATTTAAGGAGAAACGCCTGAGACAATGCTCAGAAACAACTGAGGATCATCATTACATCTTCTGAGTAACTTCTGAGAAACACAAATCTCTTCACAGTAAAGACGAAATCATCCGGGATCAAAAAGTACAGAAATAAAAGCTGACATTGGTATGCATTGCAGCAAGAGATAAATATGTGTACTTAAGGTTGAAATTTTTCTGTGCAGTTTTTCACAAACAAAAATAGAGGGCTTTTCACGGTGACCACAAATATCATTGCGACACTAAATCTGATGTGT